CTATTCAGCCACAGCAAGGCTCTTTAAGTACCTCATTAGTCCGTACGCAGGAGGCAGATATCAACCTTCGAGTACATAAGTGACTATTCACCTATTCACTTATGCGCATAGAAGCCTCTGTTGGGAAGAGTCCGCCAGTTGTTGTGACAGAACCTACAGTTTCCTTATGTTGACGTTAACAGACCAACTGCGGAAATCTTTTTTTGGTGTTTGGCCTTGTGCGCGATAATAGCTTCCAACAGGCTGCTTTTCATAAGTTGGGGTATGAAGTAAATTTTATATATGTTGAAGCTTTTGTGTCATGTGACGATGTTCTGTCGGAAGAAAATTTGTCCGATTTTCGATCAATGGCTGATATATACTGATATGTATGTATGTATGTATAGGTTTAACGTCCCGGAGAAAACACGGGCAGCGCCCGTGTTTCAGAAGCCTCCCGAAGGGCATGGAGACGTGCTACGCTGGAGAGATTTCTATGTACACAGAGAGAGAAAACAGAATCCAGGTGGCAACTCTTGAGAAGACTCAGCTCATTGCAAAGGATTTTTCTGAGCTGCGCATCCACTTCTGGCCCGACGTATGGCCATTCATGGTGGGAATGATATATACTGAGAAACATAGAAAAGACCACCAACTTCTGCAGGTAATTGCACAAAATTGTTCTAGAGCTGCACATCGTGTTTTTGAATCTTCCTTCATTGGAAAAGTTTGAATACCACCGGAAGCTTTTCCACCGTCTAAGAATCCGACCCTCACTTACTAGCTTTAATGAACCCTATTCAGTGGTATAGTTACACTTTGTCGGAACTGGATAAAGTCCGAATATTGACCCAAATACTGAATATCAATGAAATAAATTATTGAATTGTTATTATTTTTCCAATAATTACATGATAAGTAGGCAGTATTTATAAGGAAGGATATGCTTGATTATACAAGTGAGGCAGTGCTCTAATGCGCACCAAGGCAATTTCGAAGAAGGCTAAAGCAAGACATCAGCTCCGACATACCCCCTTCAGCAGAATAACATTAGTAATGAAGCTGGATAAATTACCAGAATAGAAAAGGATATAGAGGATATGACAATCAAAAAAAAAAAAATAAATAAATAAATAAAATAAAAATAAATAAAGAAGATGTATGAAATGGATAAAGGATATATATGAGGA